TCCTCTCCCCCAGAAGCAGAGAACAGCCTCCAAGCCGCTGCAGCAACAACACCATAAACCTAGGGTTTAGGGTTTAGGGTTTAGGGTTTATAGCGTGTTACCGCTATAGGCCCCAGACAAATCTCTCCTGGTCTAGGGTTTAGGGTTTAGGGTTTAGGGTTTTTTCAAGGGTTTAGGGTTTAGGGTTTAGGGTTTAGGGTTTACCTTCACACTGTGTAAGGGTTTTCGCTGCATGCAGCAGCTGAGATAAAATAGAAAACAAATTGTCTCTTCTGTCTGCTGCTGCTGCTGCTGCTGCTGCTGCTGCTGCTGCTGCTGCTGCAGCAGCAGGAGAATCATCATCATCGTCATCAGCAGCAGCAGCAGCAGCAGCAGCAGCAGCAGCTGTTCTGCTGCTACCCTTTGCTGCTGCTGCTGCTTTCTTCTGTCTCTTCCGTTTGTCGCTGCTGCCGTCAGCTGGCTCCTGCATACCAAACCCTAAACCCTAAACCCTAAACCCTAAACCCTAAACCCTAAACCCTTAAGCCCCTAAAACCCTAGATTCGTCGATTCAGTAAACCACCCTAAACCCTAAACCCTAAACCCTAAACCCTAAAACACTCTAAACCCTAAACCCTCTCTCTCCCCCTCCCTTCTGCATTGAAATTCAGCTAAAGTTAAACAAGGGTTTAGGGTTTAGGGTTTAGGGTTTAGGGTTTAGGGTTTAGGGTTTACGATTTCTATTTGTTGTATGAGTTTTGCTGCAGCAGTAGCCATCCAGTGTATAGAGAAGAGAGACAAAGAAAAGAGAGAAACGAGAGAAGCAGAAACACCAATAGCAGCATTTAGGGCTTTTACATGTTTGCTGCTGCTGCTGTCTTCCTGCTGCTGCTGCTGCTGCTGCTGCTGCTGCTGGTGCTGGTGGGGTTGCTGCTGCTGCTGCGGCTGCAGCAGCACACGCCGCTGCAGCTGCAGCAGCAACTCAAAGCTCCCCAGGGGGTTTTCTTCAGTAGGAAGAGCAGCAGCAGCAGCAACAACAGCAGCAGCTAGCTGCTGCAGCAGCACAGCTAGCTGCTGCTGCAGCAGAGGAGAACGGGGGCCCCCGGGGCCCCTAGGCCAGTACCTAAGAAACAACCACACACACCCCTCAGGTGTATACGCAGCTGCTGCGGTGTATAGGCAGCTGCAGCAGCNCTAAGAAACAACCACACACACCCCTCAGGTGTATACGCAGCTGCTGCGGTGTATAGGCAGCTGCAGCAGCAGCAGCAGCAGCAGCAGCAGCAGCAGTTGAGGTGTATGTACACCGGGTTTGGTGCTGCAGCAGCAGCAAGAAAGCAGCAAACGAGCAGAAAGAGAAAAGAGAAAAAAACAACAAAAAAACAATAAAAATAAAAAAAGAAAAAAAGAAAGAAAATAAAGAAAGAAGAAAAACAAACAAAGAAGAGACAGAAACAGAGACAGCAGAAGAGACAGCTAGATAAGACAAAGGGTTTAGGGTTTAGGGTTTAGGGTTTAGGGTTTAGGGTTTAGGGTCTGACTTGAGGAGAGAATAGAAAGTATCGAATTTTGTCTGCGTAAGAAACTCAAGCGCATGCAGCACCTGCTGCTGCTGCTGCTGCTGCTGCTGCTGCTGCTGCTGCGGCTGCAGCAGCTGCTGCAGCTCGTTGAGAGACAGCTGAAAGGCGCCGTCCTGCAGCAGCACTTCTGCTGCNCTAAGAAACAACCACACACACCCCTCAGGTGTATACGCAGCTGCTGCGGTGTATAGGCAGCTGCAGCAGCTGCTGCAGCTCGTTGAGAGACAGCTGAAAGGCGCCGTCCTGCAGCAGCACTTCTGCTGCTGCTGCTGCTGCTGCTGCATCTGTGTCTTCTGCTGCTGTTTCTGCTTCTTCTGCTGCATCTCCTTCTCCTTCTGCTGCTGCTGCTGCTGCTGCTGCTG